GGTCCAATAGTAGAGCTACCGCGACGACCTGGGTTTTCTCCTGAGAAACACAGATATGTGCAAGAGCATCCAGGATGGGAAAGGTGCGAACGTTTATGTGATAGTTATCAACAATGCCGTGTTGGGGTGTTTGAAGTGAAGGGTTGAAGCGGCGGAGAGAGTGGTCCTCCCACCTGGGAATACGCAGCACATCAGAGCCACCGTGCGGTGCGGGTCGAGTTTGTCAGCCATAGTCTTTGAATCAGCCAACGAACGGGCAAAACTAGATGTGGTGGGCTTTTGCTGGGACTAGTTATCCAAAGCATTAGTAAAGCATCAAAGCAAGTGAGCCCTTTAATCATACTGTCAATAATTGTTATCCAGAGCACTGTGAGAGCCCTTGAAATCAACTTTCTCCGACAGCCCTGTAATCAGATTTGGAGGCTCCTAGGAAGGATTGTCGTTTTTTCACAACGCAGTATAGGGTCGGTCCGCTGGACGGGTTGGGCCTCGTTGGCCGGTGTTTGCAGTTCTATTGACGGTCGAAAAAGAGTTTATTGTGGGCACCTGATTTCCACCGGTAATCTTATAGCAGGTTTCAAAAGCCTTTTGTCCGGTGGTAGGAGTGAAAGGCTTGACGAGGGGAAAAAAGCCAAGAGGAAAGGCCTGTAGATATAGCGATGACGATGGTTTGGAGGGCTGTAGGGGTGGGAAGGAGAGAAGAGGCTTTAGATGGATAAAGAGGTAGTCCAATGCTATGCACTGAACAAGGGCGAGAACGATAGAGAACGGGGGAGGAAGAACGGGGGCCCGAGGGTGGTGTCAACACTGTGAGAGAAGGAAGAGCGGATGGTTGAAGGTTGACAAAGTGAGCACCTCCCTTAATCTCCGTGCCAAGACATCATTTTTTTTGTAATCACGTGATGCAGATCCTCAACACTAGCAAAGCCGCTCGTGCTATGCGTTTTCCTTCCCGCTCTTTTTGCTGCTCCCAACCTCTGGGGTCTTCTACGCTCTTTCTACCTTCCCTCCCCTTGGTTCGCCTGTCTCGGGAATGGGTCTCAATCCAACCTGATGATCCAACCATTCCCCCTTCTCCCCATAATGGGCTCTTCTCACCCGCTCTTAGGAAGTTGCGGAACTAGTGTCATTCGAATCCTCGACAACTATTTCTTGTGTCCTCGGTTCTCCACCCTAGACACTGCCTCTCCTATCAATATTCTACACATCCCCATCGACAACTCTACTGGCCCCCAAGGGTGCAATATAGTTCTCGACTTCCTTCCCTCCAGAATGGGGTTAGAATCCAATAACAGGGCCGCGAGAGGGTCCCTTCGTGGGGATTTCCTCCTCCGATGAAGTGTTGGTATTGGGTTGTAGTAATCTGATCGTGAGGTGGAGCGCAAGTTCCGACGTCAAGAGTTCTAATCTCACACTTCAGAGGGGAAGGGGGGAGAGTATTATGTGTGTTACTTTGATTGAAGGTACGGTATCCCCCCAGTTCCTCACAACAACGGGGGTTAAAAGTACCGTACGGAGTAGTAAGAAACAGCCCGAGCACGGGATATCATAAATCGTGCGAATGCCATTGGCTGCTAGGCGGAATTATGCTAAATCACCCCAACGACTGCAATTTCCCTCTGAACGCAAATAGTAAGAGTATCAATACAAGCGCTAACCTAACCCCCGGACGTGCTACTCCCTAATGTAAGGGACGGAGGACCTCTCGCGACAGTCAATCTCCAAGTTCCGCATTAACTCGCAAAGTTGAGTAATTCCGTACAAGGTTTTAAACTCCGCACCGGGGCAAGTTATCCCTAACAAAACCTGGTAGTCGACCAAAAAGGAATAGGGAGATCGTGTGAGCCACTGTTGGGCTGGCAGCGAAAGGTTAACGAAATTTCTCTATTCCTCTTTTGTCGACTACTAGGCTTTCTATGGAGCTATTGTTTCGGAATTGAGATAAGAACCCTACACGGGGATACTCAATTTTTCGAGTTAATGCAGTTCTTCACGATGGGCCCTGCGAATTCAACCTCCAACTCTACCGTGACCACTCCCGCAGAATCTACCGAAGAATACGCCGCATGCATAGATGCGCTTAGTAAGAACGGGTACTACAATGTGACTCCCGACGCTGACTTAGTCTCTAGTGTTACCCCTGGCGAAGGAATTGGCACCACCGTTTCCTGGATGACTACGGAACCCTTGGATTGGTTCTCCCCAAGGGAGTCCCGGTCCCATCTTCTACGAGAGCGTTTCGGGGTATAGAATGGTCGAGTTGAGTGCACTATAGAGAGTTAGGAGTTTACAAATTCCTGAGATGGATGTTGTTTCGCTACACTTAGGCTTAGAGAGTGTTAATGGGTCAGTGGTCGTGATCGGTGGATTTGACGAGGTGCTTTGTAACGATCCTACTCCGTTATGTTAACCCTTCGACAAGTAACGACCTTATACTTCACTTCGTCGTTCACAATAGTCCTTAGACCACTGTCCACGTTACAATCTATTGTAACACCTATTGGAACAGTATTGTTGTCTCGTATACCCGTATGCTGAAACTCCTTCATCATATATGGTTGCAGGAGATCATTGCGGGTAGAAGAGTATTGATTTAATCTTAATAGCATAGGAAAGGACTTAAGTGATCGTGTGTGGAGCCTAACCAGGAGGTTTTTTTTTTTTTATCATTATGTATTCGTTGTTTATGGTACGAGTACAAGGCAGCACTAGCAATGGCATAAACAAAACCTTAAGACCATGTGAGGGCTCAGCGAGGCTTGGCAGCAAAAGCTTCCTGGTTTGACTACTCAAGTATGGTATGGGACAACCAAAATCCACCCCTGATCCAATATTCTCAGAAATTCCAACCATAACTACAATAGTGACTTTTGTTATGACCTTATGTAAAATCCGAAAACTATGGACAAGCTCTAATTCATTGTTTAAACAATTTTATCAGAGGAAATTTTATTAAGCCTTTCCCAGGAGTGACAATTCGGAATATATAAATTTGACCCTGGGGGCAGGTTTTGTACCTCCTGCACTGCTCCCATGAGAATTGTCTTTCAGATTCGGGTAGGTGATTTTCTATCGTACACATCAATTGCGGGAAAAAAATTCTTCCCGGTTGAAGCCAGAGAATATCCGGGACATGTTAATTGCTGTTGGCTTGGTTGGTCCGACAGTTAATAAACCAGAGCCGGAGGATTAACATGTATCAAATCCCTACTTGGCATATTAATACAGGATTACTAAGCCTGGATGGATGTCCCCATACTCAAGCGACAGGGGTCCCCCACAATACCCGTAGGGTACACGAGTGCACCCGGGCACCGAGCCGTACTCGTAATTGCCCGAAGTTTGTACTCGTAAACACACAATCGCTGTTATCGCAGATGAATAAAAAGATTGGACAGGGCCTCAAGATTTTGGTGGTATCCAATAACCGTCGTAGTTTACAAATGTCACGCAATCAGGAACACGAGTGTCTTTCTACTCGTAGGGGGTACCAAAACACGGAATAGGCGGAATAGGGGTAGGTGAACGACGGATAAGACGGCCAGACCACACCCGACCGTTTGGCCAATCCTTCAAGGTCAACCGTTGATCGAGGCTTCCAGGCCCAGAGCATTGTTGCCTTATTCGTGGCAAATTTATTTAACAGTTCATCATCACGATGTGAAGTGTTCTTACGAGTACTCGTAGCTCTCGCTCGTCATTGGGACACGGTTGCGATGCAATTTCGGGGCCGTTCGGTTGAGAAGAGGTCGAACCATTGTGGCTTGGCTTGGAGCATTGTCGTTGGGTGGAGGAGGGCGGAGCTTGTTTTTTTCCTGGCGATCAGGAACCAGAGAAATAACCTTACAAGCATGATTATTTATCTCTTGGCCGCCAGCCGCCAAGCTTAGTGGAGTGCGGGTATTACGGCAGTTTGCTGGTGTGAAACAGAATGGGGGGACACAAAGTTCTGGTTTGGGGAGATCCCCTCACTGGGGTTCGACAGCCCTCGCGCCAGCCAGCCATTAATTTACAAGTACGCGTCTCGCAAGGCCTTCAGGAGTGATTTTGGGTTTTTCCCGAGTTGGGCCTTGGGGGTTGAGCTCGGGTACGAGTGCTCGAGTAGTTCGGACAGTGTGTGTTCAGTTCAGACCCCGAGCCTTCCCCAAGGAGTACGGCGGTACTCGATAGACGCTTAGGCATCGATATATGATACGGTGGTCGGGTTTGAGGCGCCACACTAGTACAAGTAGACAATATCATGTACTCGAGTACTTGTACAGTAGATACGCTGTCTGTGAATGGTACGAATCAATGATTCAATCGGGGGGTCCCGCTCTGACGTTCCGCGTCCCGATCAATTTGAGGAGTATATTCTTTCCATGGTTGGAGCGTCTGCTCCTCCGGTTCACATTCTTCTCGGAATTCCGCGAGAATCTTGGCATTACTCGCCCCTCGTTCGGCACATTCCATTGCTCTTCCTGCTTTCCGTTTGTTTGCAGCCGGTCGCCCCTTCCTTCTTGTTCCCTTCCCGTCTTCCTTCCCCCGGGCTCTGCGCCCCCGACCGGCACCGGCCCCGGCATCTAACCATTGTTTATTTGTTGCTCCTTCCTTCCTATCCTTCCCTCCCTCTTGTGTCTGGGCACCCGTTGGCGGGCGAGTGAAGGAACGAGCGAATAGCCCTCCCGATTTTCTAGTCCGGCGCACCAGAGTGTGTAGCATGAGATCCCGTGCATCGCCATCTCCTTTTCCGTTGCACCCACGAGTATCTTTTGTTCCTCATTCCGTTTATCATAACTTTTTCCGACTGTGCCTGAGTTCCGCTGTGCTGTGTTGATTCAAGCAGGCTGCTCTACAGACAGCCGCCACCCAACAACACGTGCTCACTTGTTTCCTCCACTCATTCCCCGCTGGACTCATCCCATCACTCCCCCCCCTTCTCCCCCCCACACCCTCATTTGTACATTTCATTACACCGCTGCTTAACAGCTTCGCTCTGCTCCACCGTGCTCGTGTTTTGTGCGGGAGAAGAGGAAGAAGCTTTTTGCTCGTCTCCCTACAGCATACCGGTAACGGTACGGTAGTATACACCTTAACTTTATTCTATTTCCCCCCTCCCCCCCAAGAGCTTGGCCGTACGTCAAATACGGGTAGCCGTCCCGCGGTGATCATCATACTTATCTTATCATCAAGATCGGGATCACCATCGTCATCAAACCACAAACATCACCCCACATCGACATCACGAGATTCCTCCCTAAAACTCAAACCCCCTCTGCCTGCGCTTATTTTCCTGTTCTATTTTGTCTACTATTTCTGCCATCTAGATAATTTCCGTTATGCCTCTCACATTAACGCGCACCTTGGTTCTTTTGCTCTCTCTATTGTCCCTGTTTTGCCTGTTTCTCTATGTTTCTTTAACGAATCTCTCCTCCGCTTCATCTTCTGGCCGAAACCGTCAGTCAGCCACAAATTTTCTGTTCCCGTCCACGGCAATAATATCACTCAGCGATGACAATTCTACCTTTTTCCTCTCCCGACCTGCAGCGTTCGGCCCCCCATTGCCCAAGTCCGGGCTCAAAGGAGAGCTGTTTGTGCTTGAGGAAGGGCAGCTAGCTTGCGATGATACACCTGGCTGGGATCCATCTTCCTCGCCACCCGTTCCCATGGTTGGAGAGGACGGTACCGATGATTTTGACTACGCTCCCAAGTCCTTGGTTGCCACCATTACAAAACCTGGAGGTGCCCACGCCGATATCGAGAGTTTACAGCAGAGCGCTGAGATAGAGGGGAAAATTGTGCTTGTTGCTCGGGGTGGTTGCGGCTTCTTGGAGAAAGTGCTATGGACTCAACGGCGGGGCGGGGTGGCTTTGATTGTTGGGGACTACAAACGATCCGGGGGTACTATTGGTGGCGGGGCTTTGGTGACTATGTATGCTAAGGGTATGAAGAAAATCTGCCTTTCTATCTTTTTTGAGTTATTCGAGATTGGTGGTGGAGCTCGAGGTTATTGCATTTAGGGGAATCATCGGATGGTGTGACATCAATATTTTTTGGTGACCAAGCGCTGATAGGTTCGACCGGTGAATTAGGCGACACCAGCAACATTACCATTCCGTCGACCTTCACCACGTATACTACCGCAAAATTATTGACGACTCTACTCCCTAAGCATGTGTCACTACCACTCACGAGGCCCAATACTCTGGGCCCAGTAGCGGGGCCTGAGCCGAAGGGTGGGGAAGGTAAAAGAATTGAGGGGGGGGAGAAAGCTGGACTTCGGCTTAAGCGGCCGTTGGAGGAAAGGAATCGAGCTCCTCCGGAGCTGCAACCAGCTGGTGCGCCTGCGAAATCCGAAAAGACTACCATCACCACATTTATCGGGAAAACAGCTACTCCAACATCGCCTCCTGCGGGCCCTGACATTCATGTGGATTCGTCACATAGACCTCCCATGTCTGGTGAATTGGGCGGCATAGTATTTGTGGTCGACCCGGATGAAGGAAAACCTGGGGACGAGAACAGTGACAGGGGTGGTGACAAGGATGGTGACATCGAAAAGGACGGCCTCTGGATTACTCTTACACCGACCTCCATGAGTTCTTCACCATTTTTCGACACCCTATTGGTGTTGGTGATTAGCCCGTTAGTTACCTTAACCATCGTCTATGGTAAGTGTTTGTCCGGTTTATTTTTGTTTTGTTGCGTGGGCTTTGCTCTGACCTGTCAGTAGCCCTTCTGCTTGCTCGCTCCGTGATTAGGAGGAGGAGATGGAGAGCCCCTAAGAGTGTGGTTGAAAGGCTTCCTGTGAGGACCTATCAATCGACACCATCAACCTCAACACCCCGAACACCCCCTCCTCCCCCCACTCGGAGGCCGTTGTCGCTTCCACCGCGAAGTAACCGTGAGCGAAATGTCGGTAATGTTAGCAGCGGTCGAGTCTTATCTACCCCTAGCGCGCCGGAAAATCAGAACAAGGAATTCATCCATCAATCCCCCCCGTGCTCAGGCTACCAGGGAGGTTCAGTGGAATGTGTTGTCTGTCTTGAGGAATACGTCGACGGTGTTAGCAGGGTCATGAGATTACCCTGTGGCCACGAGTTCCATGCTGGTTGCATGTGTGTTTCCCTTTGCCCTATTTGAAACGGACCGGACTAATCAAGGTGCTAGAACACCATGGCTTACTACAAGACGGAGGACATGCCCCATCTGCAAGGGGGATGTGGTGAGAGGCGCCGCGGCAGGGGGTCCGGGACCAAGCTGGGGCCGACACAGCGATGTTGGTGAGGCTTCGGAACGAACGCCACTTGTGATAAGGGACGGTGAGGAGGAGGTTTAGGGACATGGAGTTTGTGTTTTCTTTACTAGCTTTTGCATTGTCTTTTTGCTTGCGGTGTATGGTTTGTTGGTTGTGGGATTCTTTCTTTTTGCGATACCGAGCTGGGTGACTTGTAAATGGAAACTTGGGCGCTGCTATTCACTGGTGTGCGGATTGTCACTTGACGTGCGGCTTTGACGGTAGCTGAGGAAAGCTAATGCATATTACCTGGTGAAATAGAGCATCAGATATAGTGATTATTTCTTGTGCGGCAATTCCGTGAATTATGATGGTTGACTCGTTGGTTGCGGAGTTGTATCTGGACTGCAGCCGGTGTGGTGGAGAGCATTGTGCCAAAGTTGCCCTTTCCCGTCTCACCGGTGCTTTAATAGCTATCAAGGTGTACATGGAGCATACCGCTGATATACCGGTATTCACACTTGCATATAGCATTTCGGGCACTTTTCAATCCACTCAAACCAAGTGACTGTGCTTCAGGCGGGATGGGGCAGACCACTACGTAGACCTTTTCCAACCTCCCTCCCATGGGCAATCTTACAGTGCTCGAATGCTCGTATCTTTCTTGCGGCCCGTCAGCAATCCCGCGATGGATGTCCCCCGGCACGGTAAGCTAGTGTTTTTGATAAGTACTAGTACCAAAAGCCTTATAATCCCAACTTTTCAGATGCTAGTAAATTCACATAATAACCTCTCTCGTTCAGCGTGGGAAGACGACAGTCCGCGCATGTTCTCCCGCTCTTGTGAGCGCCACCCCCTGCACTCGAGTATTCATCCACCTAACCCTTAGTAGCGGTACTCAAGCTGTAAGGCAACTTAAAACATGGAGTTTTATGTAAGAGAATTCGGGTATAGGTACGATAAGTTACTTGTAAATTAATTGTAGTCTACTGGACTGGACTGGAGCCCTTTCGGGTTTTTCCCGCCGTTCTCCACAATTCAAGGCTGACTTTCCAGCTTCTTCTGGAATACGAGCAAAACGACGTCAGAAGTTAGTTGGCTTGAACGTCACAAAATCATGGGCCAAGCCAACAATAAGATGCATTGTACGAGTACTATAAGGAAAGGGGCGGGTTGGGCAACACTAAGGCTTAAGCGCTAGCCACAGGTAGCATTTGGTTCATTATGACGTGGGTTCCCGTGGCGGATGTTACAGGGCTTGTGTGTGGCTTGAGCCAATCGGTTGCTCAAGCATTCTGGCGGCCCATCGCATGTGGCTAGTGCGGGTACCTACCTACTAATTGCTTACCGGTATGATGCTGATGATGTCAAGAGTTTGGAACCTCTTTGGAAAGAGGGAGGCAATTACAAAGACCTGTTTGCGTGGGTATGGAGGGGAAGTGGGAGGAGGAGGAGGAGCACGAGGGTTTCTATTCTGGAAACGATCCCCTGTGCGTGTGGATGATGGCTCTTTATAAAAAGGCCTTAAAGACTCCCGAGATGTGACCCTTTTTTCCTCTCTCTCTATTCTTCATAAGATTTGAAAACTCGAATATAACCACACGTTACCAGACGAATACCTCACTCTTCACCTCAATTTTCCAACCATATCTTTTTTTAATAGAGCTTTTACAAACATATCATCATGAGCAACGTTACCAACAAAGTTAGGGATGCCATCGCTAGCCAGCAGGACGATACTACCACCGACCGCACCGCCGGCCCACATAGATCTGATATGGCCAACCGTGCTGATCGTATGTTTTTCGATCGTTGTGTTCTCATTATGAATTCGGATTGGCGCTAAATTTTTACCATAGCCCGAGTCGAGTCAGACCGTGGCCACCACGGAAACCCAGTGGGTGGGGCCGGCCTAGGCGGAATGGGCTCAACTCATACTGCAGGCTCGACAAATTATGGTCCCCACGATTCAAACATTGCAAACAAGGTGGATCCCAGAGTCGACTCTGATAGAGATGGCCATGGGCTCCACAATGCTTCTGGTGCTCATGGAGCTATGGGTCTTGGGTCGACTGGCACTCACGGTCTTGGAGCCACCGGCTCGACCGGCCATGGATCTCACGGTAATACCGGAATTGGGTCTACTGGTGCGCACACTAGCACCGGTTACAACACTTCCACCAACGTTGGTCCTGACCGTGAGGGCCGCGCGGGCCTTGGTTCAACCACTCAAGGTGCCCCTGGTATCGGATCTACTGGAACACACACTGGCACTGGTTACGGTACTTCCACTAGCCATGGCCCTCATGGCTCCAACGTAGGGAACAAGCTCGACCCCCGTGTCGATTCTGACCGCGACCACCGCGCCTCGCAGGCCGCTACATCTACCGGCCCTGCACCCGACACCGCGGGCCCACACAAGAGCGACCTGATGAACAAATTGGACCCCCGCGTGGACTCCAACCTTGATGGCAGCAAAACTATAGGCGCTGATAAGACTTATACTGCCGGCAGTGGTGCTACCAGGGGTATGCATCAGTAAAAGTAAGGTCATTTTCTCACCTTATATTTATTTATGTATTCATGGAGAATAGAGCGAGTTACTAAGCAGGGAATTGTGCAGCAGATTGAGTAATGACCACCCCGTACGACACAGCACAGGTGCCGCCGAGTCAATTCCAGAAGGCTACGGGTGCGAGCCGCCCTACATCTCGGGGGAGTGGATTGGGTGGGCCATGACTTTTTTTTTTTGTTGGCTGGAAACGGGTACGGGTGGTCGTGCTCGCATGATTGCGTTATTTTAGGAATTGGATTGGATTGGATAGGTATGGTAGTTCGCTACCTTAGAAATCAAAACAACTGAATCGTGTGCTATGTATGGAGTTGAGAATTCCCTACTTTGGAAAAGTGACGAAAAATACCAGAACCAGCCAGTGAAAGAGTAGGCAATTCCAACGATACAAGACTTGGTTCCGAGTAATTGAGGATAATAAACCAGCCCGGTTTGGCGAAGCTTTTTACCAAATTGATTGGACATGAGGAGTGCAGTATCGATGCGATTTCAAAACAAAAGATGTGTTGATTTGGTGCGAGCAGCAGAGCGGGGTAGCGAAGGCAGCCGCACATCTATTCTAAATCAGTAGTAGTGGCAGGTACCCGAAGCCGTATCATACCAGTGCCCTTCAAGCTGAATAATGTTTCCGAACCATCAGTTAAAGTACTCGTATGATACTAGACTAGTCAAACCACAAATCTTCTTAATCATGCCCTCTCACTCACCCACCCTCAGGTGCAGGCGCCAACACATGATTAGTCTTGAGGCCTACTCGGACCAGATTCAAGGAAGTGACATTTCTTGGTTCGAGAACGCCTTTTTCTTGCCTTTTTCCTTTTTCGTCATGGCGCATGTTTCAATCTCAATCTCAAAATTTCATTCTTTTGCACAGCTAATTTAAGTAGTTGGATATATACCCTCTGGCCTGCCGAGGGGCGGTTTCCCTGTTAGCGCTCTGCGATAGGGCCGTATCACACCTTTCCCAAGACATCCACTATTGTGAAGGAATACTCGAGCTTTTAGTAAACGAGGCATTACCGTGACCCCCCTCTTTGATGTGCTCAATCATTCCCCCAGGTTAGGGGCAGCATCATGTGTGATCACTCGACCATGATGTAAGAGCAAAAAAGACAAAAACAGCCTCAATGATCACTAGTAAACCCCCCCCCACTCTATGTCCATTGTAGATCCCCGAGCCTCCCCTACGTATATTTTATTATTTTGCACTACCTGTTAACCCCTTCCTTAATCTCACCAATATACCTTCAGCCAGCTCGGGGGGAAATAATATTATGGTTTAATATGTGAGGCACTTTTGTCCACCTGAATCCCCCCCTAAATGTTTGGGTATATCCCGTCGCCATCGCCTTCGCCGCCGCCAATCGTAGTTTCAGAGAACGGATGTGTAGGGAGAGAAGGGTTTCCTCGATTTACCACCCTAGCGAGAGGTTGGTTGGACTTCTGGTCTGGGTGGAATTCTGATGGCTGGCCTGCGAGGAGATTTTTTCTGCTTCTGCTTCTGCTTCTGCTACTGCTACCACTGCTGCTACTACTACTGCTACTACTGCTACTACTACTACTACTGCTGCTGCTACTGCTACCGCCACCACTGTTGCTACTACTATTATTGTTATTGCCTCCGCAACTGCGAATTAATTATCATTCGGCGGGTCTATCTTACTCGTAGTGCTTCAGCCTTATTCGTGCTTCTTGTTTAGTTCTACCAGCCTACAACTCAGTGATTATAACTCTATTTTCAAAAGGTCTTTCGGCTAGTATCCTAGTCTGGGGAGCTGGACTGGCGGAGTAGGAGTAATTGGCGTGCGAGGGAGTTCCTGCTTCACCTTCTACTCATTATACTGCTACGTGATACTACAATTACTGCCAACACCACCACTATGATATGATACTAGCGCCGCCGCCGCCACCGCCGCCACTGCCGCCACAGTGGCTACGAATCTGTCATTTACTGTAGGGTCACGGTCTCATTTCTTTCTCTAGTTATACCGGGTTACTCTCTTGTGATCAGAGACCTATTTGATATCATACCGACCCAAGACCGCACTCCCACGAGCTCCCCTTATGTAACTACCCTCCATCGTAGCTTCCTTTCTCTTCCCTTTCCTTCGCTCCCTCGCTCCTTCAATCTATCCTTCCTTCAATCCATCCCTCCTTCACTCCATCCTCCCTCCCTCACACAACGCGCTCCTCTTCCACTCACCCAACCTGTCCTCCCTTCACCAACTACTACCACCAAAATAAAACAGTTTGCTATCTTCACATAGCAAACGGCGCACTTCAAAGGCATTATTCTTTCCAATTGCTAATTCCTTTCGGACGGAATCAACGATATTTCGTCCTTTCTGGCAATTGAAGGGTGTGATCTCTTGAGTCTTGAGAATTCTTGAGCTCCCCAACATTTCGATCGTCGCTAATAGCCCAGGTAGATAAGAATCTTTGAGCCTCAGGGATTCCCCGCGCCGAATTGGTACGTTGTTAACTTTGTCCGCGCCCACTTTGCGCCATCCTCACAGACTTGGGGCGCATCGGGGCTATTACGCTGTACCACTCGCTAACTGTATGAGACAACAACAGCAATAAGCCAGCCCGTTGTACAGATACTTGGGGATCTTAGTGAGGCGCTCATCTAGAAGCTTTCTCGCACAAACTAGATCTCTTTGTACATCTGTACAGTATCTCACTTAAAGCAAGACACCTCTCACACGTTAGCACCTATTCAACATCACATCAGTGGACACTGTCATCTATTGATTTACTAACCGATATAGTCTGAAACGTGACAGAATCCCCTCCCCTCCACGCACACACACGCTCCGCCCCTAATTGGGGAAGTGTAACTTCCGAAACATATTCAATCTTTTAAAATGACCGAAAAAAACCCACAAAAGCCTGGCGCACGAGGCCCGCCTCGTCCGCCGCACCCTCAGTATCCGCCGCACCCTCAGTATCCGCCGCACCCTCAGTATCCGCCGCACCCTCAGTATCCGTCTCACCCTCAGTATCCGCCACACTCTCAGTATCCACAACCACCCCAACCACCTCCGGAAACACCGGCGCCAGGGGAGCCCTCCAGTTCTTCCCAGCGAAAGAGCTCTCATCCCCGCCCAGTCATGGTCCTCAAGCGTAAATCCCTCCCGGATCCCACGGAGCATTCCGAAAAGCCAGGAGAAAGTACCAAGTCGTACGCCGAGATGGCAACAAAGGCAATTAAACCGGCAGGAGACACCACTGATCACCTTTTTATTCCCGCACTCTATGATCAGGACTTCCCAAGTCTCGGCACTGAACCCGCCGCAAAAGTTACCAACCAGAAGGAGGCCGGGCCTTCTAAAGCTCCGACGTCCATGAAAAAAATGGAAGGCTGTAAGGAAGACTTACCCCCCGCGGTCCCCAATAGGTTCAATAGGTTCAATAGACCACAGCCGCCGACAAGAACGCCATTCTTCTACCACCAGCACAATTTCAGTCACGGGGGTTCAAAGGAGGTTCGAGGCCAATATGTACCCCAGTCGATGATGAGGAGTGTATCCTTCGGTACCAGTGACAATCCGCACTTTGGCCTGACTCAGGGCCCGGCGAGAAAGGTGTCCTACCCTGTATCCGGCCCCAGGTCCAGGAGGCTGAATTCCGGTTACCCCAATCCCACAAGATCGCACATCGATGGTTACGGCGCCAAGACGGGTGAGGAGAGGGAGGCATATTCTCTCCATAATCCCCCTACTCAGCCGGCCAATTTTGTGAGGGGCTCTGTCCGGAGACACAGTTCTTACATCGGACGTGGACGTGGCCGTGGACGGCCCCCCACTTCTCCCGGTGGGACCCCTCTCGGTGGATTCAGTTGGCGTCATGAGCATGTGAGCAACAAGAAGAGGGGTACTACAGAGCACGGAGGTGACCGTATTGGCGTCGGTGGATTGGGTCCCCCAGCGAAAGAATCTCCTGTATCACCGTTGGGGGAAAGAAATCCGCCTTTGACTCCGGGAGCACCAGATATCACTCGTGCAGTCGTGGAGCACTCGACATATCAGACTGGTGTTGGCTTGGGTGAGAAGGACATGGAATCACTTACACCACAACAACCACTACCCAAGAGCACAACAAGTGGAAGTGCCGAGCATGGCCATCAGGAAGAAGAGACGGAACCATCAAGGCCAACACCCAAACCCAGAACGGTTAGCGTAGCGAAGGTTCAGGTCGCGCCCTTCTCTGGTGGTTCGCATACAACTGGGCCCCAAGCTGATGACACCTCTCTTTCTAAACCTCATGACACGCGCGTCGATGTACAACAGCTAGGTTTGGAGTCATCGTCACCACCACCACCACCACCGCCGCCGCCGTCACCTGCCCTAGGGACTGCAACTCGTGCTGCCAATTTCCCCAGCCGAGACCACCCGAGGTTCCCACTACAAAAGTTCGAGCTTCCACCTCCACCCAACTATTTCCAGCTCAACCCAAACAGAAATAAAGTGCTCCCACTCATGTCTCAACCAATTGGACAAACTCAGCGGGCGAAACTCACGGCTGACGAGTATTTCGGATTGCAGGCCGAACATAATAGGCCTCAACAAGCAACTCAACCTTTTCCACCCCCTTACGCCAGAATTGAAGGTAACACCATGTTGGACAACAAAAATACTATCGCCGGCGCCGATAAGGTGACTGAAGCGGATGAGGGATACGAGGCGATCGGGCCCTCCAAGGTAGTCCAGTACGCACCGACGGTCCAAGACAAGGCCTCCAAGGCATTTGCGGGTCACGAGAAGGTCAACTTTGGAGACATAGATTCTAAGAAAGCTGCCACCACACCTGGCCAAGCTGTATCTGGAAACGCTGCATTCAATCCGCCTCCCGGTTTTGCGGATCAGCGCTCTTTGTTTGCCGGTCAAAATCCCGAAGTTAGACTTCCGCCTAGGCAAATTCAGCCTCCACCTGGGATCCCACTCCCTCCCGGACTTCCAATCCCGGCGAGCTACTACCAGCAACAGGGCATCGCTCCCCCAACCGGTCCAGGAAATACTCCGTTTGCTCAGCCGAGAGAGACAGCTGGCCCCTCCGCTCAAACCATCGACAATCGTCAGGCAGGGCCGGGTCAATATCGTCAGGCTTATCTGGACATGGGCCCCTTCACCGTTGGTCAACGTAGCGATGCTAATGAGTATGATATAGCCCTTTCATTACCCCTTACTGCTTTAGTCTAGAAGTATTATAGCTAACTAGGCACCAGTTCATACTTAAATTTGAACATAACAGACGCCGAAATCAAAACTCTCAACGAGACATTCGCGAAATACGGCCAGACTAAGGAAGGAATCCATTTACTTACCGACCGTTACGGGAGGAGGGGGGCGGTTAGTGAACAAGGGAGTGCCTCAAAAGGTGGTGAGTCAGCCGGCGGCCCTAGTAAGCCGAAAACTATCGAAAAGGACAATTTTAAAGAGCGTTTCGAGGAAGTTTTTGGCACAAAAGGAAAAGTTTCTATCCAGGTGCTCCAGGAGCATCAAAAGAAGAGATTGATTGCCGAGCGAATCCGCAATGAGAGGATTGCCGCCGAAGATGAGAAGAAAGTCCCAGAGCCTGTGACAGGCAATACGGAATTGTTCCCTTATCCCACGCACGGAAAAAGCGATAGTGAGGTCTCGCGGGAGCTTCTAGTAGAGGCCATGAAGCAGCTTAGTTCGTACGTGGAGGATGAAGGAGTCACCAGAGACGTTGCAGCAAACAAAAGTGTCTATAAAGCCGGGCCATGGAAGAAACCCCCCGCGGGAAAAATCCCTGATTGGATCGGCGACGATAACACTAGCTTCTTTGACCAGTCTTTCGGTAAAGATTACGTCCCCGAAGGGAGACAAACTACGGGTGGAGGAGGCCCTTCCAACCAGCCGGTGAAGGACGCTGTCAAACTCGAACAAACCTCTGCAAAAGGTGATGGTGCTAGTAACACTGGGGGTTCTGGGAATCAGTCAGTTGGCAAGTACGACGCCGCCAAGGGCGGGCAGTCTGTCGGTCAGGGGCAAGCTTCGAACACACCAGGCAACGTTATCTTCGGACCGCCTAAACCTCCGGGATATCCCAACCATATGCCCCCCAGAGAATACCTTCGCCCTCTCAAGACCTTTGAACCTTTTGAGAATGAGCCCCCAAAAGTGAGATATGGTCTCCTCCCGGCAAATCCGAGGAGCACCAATACCGCGGAGAAGTCTTATATCAACTATCGCGGAGGAGCGGTGGGACCTATCGCCGACTCTGCGCCCCGATACGTCCGCGGACCCAAGGGCTACCTGGAGCTTGCAAAGGATACGGCTCCTCCCCCACCAGTTGATCCATCCCCGTTTAATCAACCCATGGCCACTCCCTCTCCTTATGCGGCGTTGGAGCAAGCTCTAGGAACCACCCGCTTCACTCAAGGGGTCGCACAACACAACCGGCTGACAACCCCCATACCTCCACCCGGAGCAAAGCCAACCGGTGGTCTAATTACGGACGTCATCAACGGGTTTACTCGTGTCAATTACGGAGGAAGACAAACTCAGCTCGACCCAGACGGCAGCGGACTTTCCAGGAGTGAAGTCTTAAAACGCAATCAACGTCCAGGAGAGCGCATCGGAATTAATTTCTATGGGGAGAATGGGATGGAATTTGCAATCGATAAGACTGACTTTAACCCCGCCGAACACAATACGCTGGGTGGCAAGTTCAAACTCAAGTCGCAGTTGCGTAGGGAAGAGGAGGCATTGCGGGCTCAACAATCCCAACAACCCAAGCAGACGTCGTTTGAAGGTGCCCAACAAGCTACTACACCCGCCAAAGGAACCCCTGTTCAAGGTAAAGGTTCCGGTGAAGGCTCTGGGACCCGTTCATTCTTCAATACGCCCTCGGGTGGGAACCCGCAGCCAGGCCCCGCCACCCCAGGAAACCGGGCCGGCCAAGGCAACCCAGAGCCGAAAAGGGGTGGGAAGGGTTGGCATGGCGGAATGGGGGGAAGACAATAGACATGGTCCTCCCTCATAACCAAAAAACAACGGTTAACTTTAGATAGAAGCCAACATTACGAGGAACTGATGCGATGGATGGTTCATAGTATAATGGTTTTGTATTTGCTTTTGTTTGCTAGGGACTGTTGTTTAGTTTGGTTGGTTCGATGGTTCTACTTTTCGTTAGCTTTCAATAGTTAACTTTCAATAAAGGGTCAGCACTTGCTTAGTTTTCGCCCTTATATTTTTTTTCGTGTGAGGCCACTATCGTAGATGTATCGTACAAGTTTTACGGGTTAGATAGTTGGCAATAGTTTTCGCGTCAGGCTAGCATTAAATTTAGTTGAGCCTTTTTTTTTCTTTCATTTCATTTGGGTGATGTTATGCGAAAAATGTAACAATCCCAAAATGCAACAAATGTTTCTCAATCCATATGAAACTTGTTTGGATGGTAGAGTACCTTGTCCTGGTTCTAGAAAATATTTGCCTTGGAAATTGGGTTCCGAATAGGATTTTTAAGTGAATAATTCAAAATAACAGTTTTTATGATATTTAATTGTAATGTTTAGCATTTTCCAATTTCTTTACCATTGGTCTCTGTAGTGATAAATTCTATATCTTTCTATCATATTTTAAGGTCAGTTGGACCACCGGTTGGAGTGCTATTATAAAATTTACCTATAAAAATTCATTCTCCCATCTTCTCAAGTTTTACCTGGTTTTGCTAGGCAAATGAAAACTCAACTTTACACCCATTTCTTCTTCTTCTTCTTCCGTAGAGGGGGGGGGGGAACCCTTTCCCTGTTATAGTCTGGTACAATACCCGTCAGACGGGACGCGAACACATGTTCCCCTCGATTCGTTTTAAATCCTGGGGACATATATACTAGTAACGGTACTTGTACAGTATAATCCTGCCGGATCCTGAATAGTTCAAATCTACGTCAAATTATCGAGGATAAGGTGAATTATCCACACGCGACGACGACAAAAACGGTGGAAGAAAGAAAAAAAAATGGGTCCCCGCCGTTTTCTTCAAAAGTTACAATAACCAGTAAAGTTAGCTGGCACTCTATATCATCATAATGATATCAAAGGTCTTTTTGCTGTAAACACGTATAAGTAATACCTATTCCCAACCTAATCGCATTAGACTATCCACTCTATAGACTCCTTCGGCAGTAACCTTTAAAAATGCAAAAGCAACAAAAAGGTATCCCCCCATTCCCCTCTCGCCTTCAAGAACCCGTTCGGGCTTATCCACCCCCCACCTGAATATCGTGTGAAAAGCAAAAGTAAATACAGGTAGAAGAAAAAAAAAAAAAAAAAAAAAAAAAGAAAACGCCCATTAACCCATCTAACCTGACAAAACCCAGCACAGCGATCGGGCGAAAAACAAAAGCCCTTACAAATCTCAGTCATCGCCGACCCAAACACCTTCCCACCACTTCTCCAGCAATCCTCAATTTCTCGGCTTTCCACTTTGCGTATTCCCAGGGGTTCATGTCTTCAGGATTTTTTTCATCCGATTTCTTTTCTTCTCCCTCCTCGGGGCTCTCTACGGGGTGGTTTTGGGCTTCGTTTTGATTTGGCTCTGGTAGTTGTGTGGTGTTGGGATTTGGTTGCGGGTTGGGGTCTGCGGGGATGGTTTGAATGGAGACTACACCTTCACCTGCACCCGTTGGAACAGTAGCGGTGAGAGTGGGAGCAATGGTTTCCCCTACTTGTGCACTGGTAGATGTGCCAACCTCTCCCTCTTCTTCCCCTTCTGCGACTGGCCAACCGTTAACGGCTTTGAATGCCGCAAGATCTTTGATGGTCGCATTTGTACAGTACTGTACCGCCGAGGGCTTCGCCAATGCCTAGACTTTCGCAGACGATTCTGTGCACCTCCCAGTTGCCGAATTCCTCCACAACAACACCCACGTCAACCGCCCCCTCTATATACCCTTCCCATATAGGTGTCTAAACGCGGGACCCTTCGCAACGAAGATTGCCCTCATCAATGGATGCAAATTGTCATACCCGTGCAACCCGGCAGGCTCATACCTTCCTTTGGAAGGTGCATCCACGTCGTATTCTTCTCCAGTCTATTTTCTAATATGTACAGTACTGAGCAGTTGCGCCAAGGAGTGATATCTCATCTCATCAAAGTTTCCGATCTGATAACAATGATGGTAGATGCATAGGCGGGAATTTCTGAGCATGCATGTGATTTATGATGAGATGTGCAGTTGGGTGTATTTGTGAGCACCTTCTCAGAGAGGGCCAAGAAAAAAAGCTCCGCACCCCCCGCTGGCAATTTCTGACTATCCATATCTTCTCCCTCAGACTTTCAACATTCACAACGCGCTCGAGCGTAGATCGAGGGAATACTAGTTGAACAGTACTGAGCACTACACCGCCTCTAAAGCACAATGTTTTTCCTATCATCATTCCCGAAATAGGCGAGTCTTAGGATCTAGCCCTGGCCATGATTACGAGGTAAGGGATGGTAGGGCGCGGCGTAATCTCAACCGGGAGCTGCAACCTTCCGCCGCGGGGGACCGGGTCGGCTGGGCGAAGAACACTGGGGATGAACGATCGAGTTACCGTAGTCAAAGTAGCCTCACTGGACTGATTAGTAACAGCTGAATAGCGGGCGACATTTTGATCATCATCATACCCTAGTGCCGGGGACAGGAAATACGCCGGGATAGGGAATACTATGATACTATTGAGACGATGTACAGTACTGATACCGCAGCGTATCCCAAACAACCAGGGGTTTTCCATCCCAGATTTCCCTGATCGGTTTTAATCCACCCCTTTAACCACTTTTTCAAAAAAAAATGTGGGAATCGTATCATACCTCACTAGAGGATAGCACGGTACTATGATACATGCCGGCACTTTTCGACATGTTGACGGTGCAAGTGAGATCTTCAGAGCACCCACCCGGCCGGACGTGTTTTGAGGACTTTCGAGCGAGTGCGCAGATTCTACACAGTATGATATGATATCATACCATACCCAAGTGAAGTCAAAGGATAAGGCGGATTTGAACCGTTGATCTCATGGTGATACACTGGTAGTAGTGTATGGGGGGTAGTGAATGGAGGGAAAGAGCAAGTACTCGTATGAGTAGTACGGTAGCTCGAATCTGACTCCCGCCATCGGATCTTTGGTCTACCGGTATACCGGTAGTTTGCTGTCTCCCTCTGTTCCACCTACTATACTAGCAAACGATATCTACTTGAGACGGTAACGGAGTTCGTTCCTTCATGGGGCTGGAAGCGCGGCAGTTCACGAGCAAGCAAGCAATATATTATTCTCAAATGCCGGAATGGATCACCTGAGGACACGTGCAAAGTACGGTACCTTTTATTGCTGCCCGATGGGACGATAATGGACAAGAGTCAAGTTCGAACTGTGATGCACTGAGCAGGGTATAAGAGGGTGCTGAGTCCCCGTATCTTATCTTCGCGAAATAATTTTCCTCAAGTGAAGTTGGGCCTGATAGGGGAATTACTCCAGCAAAGATTGGTCCAATGCTTTACAACGTCGAGTTCAAAACCCTCGATGGAACGACATTGAGGGGGTGGTTCTATCCAGCTGGGGAAAACGCCCCGGCAGTAGTCATTTCTCACGGGGTAATTTCCCCTCTCCTCCGGTCCTTGCTGTTCATCACCTCTTACTAATCTCGAGGTTAGTTGGGCTGCCTAAAATCCTGGTCACTTCCCGCGATTTGCACTGCCCTCCAGTCCGCGGGCATCGCTTCTCTCCTCTATGACCAGCGCTGCTTTGGCACATCGTCGGGCACGCCCCGCCACGACATCGATCCCGAATTGCAAGGCTCGGACGTCCACGACGCTGTTGGTCACCTACTCTCCCTTCCGAACGTGAACCCCCAAAAAATCGGCATAATCGGGTACAGCTACTCAGGAGCCCACGCCGTAAAAGCCGCTTCTGTGGACCGGCGCATCAAAGCCGTCATCTCAATCAGCAGCTTGATCCGCGGTTCTTGGCTGTTAGGAGTAATGGTCCCGGACAGACCTTCGACCGACGCAATTATTTGGGAGGATAGGGAACGGCGTCGTGCGGGGGATGGGGAAGTGGGGTACTTCCCGATCAGCAATATAGAGGGAACCACCGGCAAGGTGCTTTTGCCGACGGAGGATGCGGCAGAGTTTTACGAGCGGATGCGGAAAGTTGAGATTGCCAATGGGGGCAAGTGGGAGAATAGAGTTACAATCCAGAGCCTTTTGAAGTTGAGGAAGTATAATATTATGGAGGACCTGAAGGTTCTGGCCCCGACAAGTTTGTTGATGATTGTGGATGAGTCTGTCTTGGGGAGCGGTGAGTACCAGAAGGCCTTTGAGGCTGCGGGGGAGGGGGGCGAAATTATAAAGGAGTTTGTCACCATTGAGGGTGGGCATTTTGATGCCTTGAAGAAGGGTAGGGGGTTGGAGAATGTGATCGAACATTCTATTAATTTTCTGAAAAAGGTTCTATGATGGGGAGGTTGAGGAGAGAGTTGTAATACCTTGGCGCTCACCCTTATGGGTGCTAGTGTAGCTCGAGACTTTGAGGGATCTAGAACTGATTTGTTTGTTTGTATGATAGTCCGAGACATTTAACTCGGTAAATCCCCGCACCGGAAATTTTACTTCAGTATGCCTCTAATCGAGATTTTGCTCTCCTTCCAGTTCCCGTGATTTAACTATCATACCCCAAGTGATCGACTTGTGATACCAAGTCTTAGCACTTGTTCTAATGGAGGGTGCCATAAGGCTTAAGCATGCTACAGTAGCGTTTCGTCTGACTATGATACTCGAGTAAAAGTACGAAGCCACCGCTTGACATGCTATAGCTATTGTCTTTCGGCCTTCGATGATTCTCCCGTTCATGTGATTGTACGATATTTGAATATATTTGTTATCACGTGATACATTTTTCTATTATTAAACATGTCTTAGACATTGACGGGGGGGGGGTATAAAAAAATTCCCACCTTTTTCAGCAGTCTTGGAGATAAAATTGGTGACAAACTATCATACAAATTCGATCGAGAGGACTTATCATGAGGGTATATTTTGACCGGGGCTGATCCTGGGACTGGGGCGTTTGCCAGGTCAAATGGATGGAGAGTCTCATAAGTTTGTGGGTGTTGCTTTATGGAAGTATCATATCGTGCTCGCGGATAAACAAGTGGTGGGTATGGGAGTATTTTCTGGACTGTCAGTTATGGCCTTCCTTATAATGCTCGAGTGCAAGGTACAGTACAGTACCAATGCAAACCCGCGCGCGCTTGTGGAACAGGGCCTTATAAATGCAGCCCTACTTCTTCTTCCGGTCTCTGAGATTCTCCCGGACCCCGGGATGGGCCAGGTTCTCATTGCATATATTAATCGCTCTCCATCTCGCTGAGAAAGAAATTCAGGTAGAGGATGTCATCATCGGGGCATCAGCAGATCACCGATAATATTATGTCAACTCTTTCAACCTGTTGACAAACCACAATCATAGCTACCGCCATGTTGTCGACTTCATCATAGAAATGGACACCAAGGGGCGCGCCAATTTCTGAAGCGGTCATCGCTCTTGAGCCGTAGCAATGGCACCGAGATTTAGGGTCCTGATTCAGAAAAATATCCCCGGTAGCGGTGTAATAGCCTTCCTCGTAATCCCCGCGAGATCAGGAAGTCGGAGACCCCAGCAGCTAAACCCCTATACGGCCTTCTGCAAAGCCCCCCGTATATGTTCCGAGATCCTCCACAAGTTACATGAGGACAGCGCCCGACATACTTGTGGAAAACTGCTCCTGCTACCCAAAGAAACGGCAGTAGAGTCCCACCACAGCACGTCCTCTCCCCCCAACCTAATCACACGGGCTCAACTCAACTCTCATCCGCGCTGTGCCTCTCCATTTCGTAAGCTCGGTGGTTTATAGCACCCAATTTCCCGCTCCATCGTGTCTATCATTTCACACTGAAAGAATCCGCAGAAGGGTGCCGACTAGAGATCCTGAGGTCACTGCGAGAAAACCTTTAGGGTATCATCGAATACAACAAATATTTCTATCTGAAGTTCAAAAGTATCGGTCCCTTACAAACAAGAATGGCGAATTGGGTAAAGAACTCGCTTCAAGAATTAGCTTGCTATGGTGCCTACGATCCCCGCGCATAGTCCTGTGCACAAAAACCATTAGGTAAGTTGCAAAGCTGAATGTCGACGTGCTAGTATCATATTATTTACCCTGCACTAATTGCGGAATGAATTCACAGCTCGAACCCTATCCCTAGCGAGTGATATGAGTGAGTATGGTGGACTACTGTGCGGCATAACCCCAACCGGGAGCTACAACCTCACACTATGATAGACAAAGTCGGCTGGCCGAAAGCATTGCGGATAAACGAACCCTCTACGAGCCATCTCTCACGAGGTGGGAGGTAACTTATGGGGAAGCGGGGGGCGGAAATCTGGTCAGGAAAAATTAGCGCACTAAAACTGATTTGAATTGTACTAATAGAAACGGACCTTGTCGTTGCGGGCCCCGGGGCATAGTGGAGGTTTCGCGGTACCGGGAAAACCTCCACACACACCCCGCCATGCGATTATACAGCACTCGCACTGGCCGGGTTGAAACCGGACAACTAAGGTGATAATTTCCATGCCAAATGTCGGGCTTCAACTTAACCGTGCGAGGAGATGGCCCATCCCGGGGGTGTAAGTACTTATTGTCGATTGTTTTGGAAATTGGGGGATTGCTCCTCTGCACCACCTACCATATTTCAACCCGCAAGAGTCCCAGCACCAAGCGCGAGAGGCTATGAGCAGGCAAAGGTTACGGTGCCGGTATCATAGCTATTTATCCCACTCCCATGATCCGGGTAACCTTGCTTCTCCGTCCGTTTGCCCTAGGGCTATTTTCAAAATAATATAGGACGGTATGGGATTGTGAATCGGGTGGGAACAACAAGCACAGTAGCAGCCCAAATCTGACGATCGCCATCAGTTCTTTGGTCTAAGGATACAGTCCGCCGTTCCTCTCTGTCCCACATACTGTACTAGTGAACAATTTTTCTACGTGAGACGGTATCGGAGTTCGTTCCCTCCCCGGTCCGGAAGTGCGGCAGTTCTCGACCAAGCTATAAATATATTATACTCAAATGCTGGAATGGATCACCTGACGACGCATGCAAAAGGACTTTTTACCGCTACCCGAAGGGATAATGGATGAGAGTGAAAAACCAGACTGTGATAAGCGAAGCGGGGTATAAGGGGTTCTTGAATTCCTTTCCCTACATTTGCGAAGTAATTTCCTCGAGTTGAGTAGGTTGGCGTGATATGGCGAGTACTACAGCGACGATTAGTCCTATGCGTCACGACACCGAGTTCAAAACCCTTGATGGAACGACATTGAAAGGGTGGTTCTATCCGGCTGGGGAAAACGCCTCGGCGGTAGTCATTTCTCACGGCGTAGCCCCCCCTCTCCTCCGGCGCTTGCTGTTTACCACCTCCTATCATACTAAGTTCAAATTTAGTTTGCATGCCTCAAATCCTGGGCTCTCCCAGAAATTTCCAGAGCCCTCCAGTCCTCAGGCATCGCCTCCCTCCTATATGACCAGCGTTGCTTCGGCACGTCGTCTGGCACGCCCCGCCACGACGTCGATCCCGAGCTACAGTGCTCGGACGTCCATGATGCTGTTGGTCACCTACTCTCCCTCCCGAGCATAAACCCCGACAAAATCGGAATAGTTGGGTTCAGCTACTCAGCAGCGCACGCCGTAAAAGCCGCTTCTCTGGACCGGCGCATCAAATCCATTATCTCGATCAACAGCTTCATTCGTGGTTCCTGGTTGTTGGGATTGATGGTTCCGGACAGGCCTTCTGCCGATGCACTTATCTGGGAGGATAGGGAACGGCGTCGTGCAGGGGATGGGGAAGTGGGATACTTCCCTGTCTGCAAAACTGCCGACACCACTGGTATGGTGTTTTTGCCGACGGAGGGTGCCTCGGAGTTTTACCAGCGGATGCAGAAAGTTGAGATTGCCAATGGGGGGGAGTGGGAGAACCGAGCTACAATTCAGAGCCTTTTGAAGATTAGGAAGTACAGCATTATGGAGGATATGAAGGTTCTGGCCCCGACAAGTTTGTTGATGATTGTGGATGAGTCTGTCTTGGGGAGCGGTGAGTACCAGAAGGCCTTTGAGGCTGCGGGGGAGGGGGGCGAAATTATAAAGGAGTTTTTAACCGTTGAGGGTGGGCATTTTGATCCCATGACTGAGGGTAGGGGGTTGGAGAATGTTATCGAACATTCCGTTAGTTTTCTGAGGAGGATCTTTTACGGGGAAGTTGAGGAGTGAGTTGCGATACCTTAGCATTCGCTCTCATGATACTAGGCTAGCTCCTCGAGACCTCGAGGCATCTGGGGCTGGTTTGTTAGTACGATAGCTAGTCCAAGACATTCAACCCAATAAACCCCCGTACCTGACAGTTCTGAGATTCTGTAGTGTTCCCAATGGTGCTGAGGAATCTTAGAGGAAAGACTGTCAGGCCTCGGACCCGGGCACACGAGATGATTTTGCAAACCCAAACAATTTAACCCCTTCCTCAGAGGCACTTTTTATTACCTAGCTATACCATATCTCCCATATTGGCACACTACTTTGTTCCCCCATCGCTCGGAGCCCAATTCTAGTTTTACAACCACATAGGATGGGCTCGCCATTTCCGCCTCCCTTCAATAGATATTTTAGAATCCTATAGAGTTCGGGATGTGGTTATCACCACGGTAAGGCTTCCATTGGATTGTTGAATGCGTCCAAGGTTGTCAATATTGGGGGCGGCGGATAAAGACGAGAGAAACTTTATTCTTGAGAAGGAAGATTCACGAATTTGAACTTCGAGGCTCCTGCCACCTTCATTCGTTCCACTTGTTCATTCTTCGAACTAGATGGGGCGCGGGGGGTGGGGGGGGGGGGGTATAATCAAGAGATACTCCAAAGACCGCCCGCTAGCCTTCGTTCTAATTGTAAGCCGAAGACTATCACGCGGATGAGATATCACGTCATGGGCGGACAACTAGAGGTCCTGGAAGTGCCGTGAACATCACCGGATGGTTTTTCTCACGTATTTCCAGATCAAACCCGGGATATCTGTTTATTCGGCTCCCCCAAGTCTCCCCGCGTTTCGCTCCTGAAACGTAGGTCCGATGATTCCAAGCGGCCAGTCCGGCCAGAGTTTGGAAAAGCCTGGGTCGCTCCGGTCGAGATTATTCAAAGATTGGTAGGCGGGCAACCGCCCGGTTGGAGTTTTCAGCAACCTAAGCCAAAGCTGCCAGATGCCAAGGCGAACCCCTTAGAGGCCCGGGCCAGGCTTGGTTTCGGCTCTGAAAAGGCGCTTTCCCGCAGTCCGGCTGTACGCAAATCCGCGCTGACTTGTCGAAGTGAAAGGGGACACACTCGGTATCGATTTATGTATTGTCGGTTAAAACTAACCGCACATGACAACCGTCCACTTGATTCCTTGATAATACATTTATGAACTAAAAGTCCCTAATACCAAGCACAGATGGGGTGGAAAACATAGTTGGAAGAGAAATTGGACGTAGGACACTATGCCTGATATGCTCTATGAGGCAATACAGATGGAAATCAGGGCAATTATTCCCTCCATGATATCAGCATGGTGTGTGGAGTCACCAGGACTTCACACCCATGATTTTGATTCAATGGTAACCAAGTGTGATGACTGGATTGCGCCGTTCTGGGTCAACACATGTGTGCAAGCCAGAAGAGGGAACCATCATTGATCGATGAGGAAAGTTGGAGGATAAAAGCAGCATGCAGAATATTTGTTAAAAAACTTGCTTGTTTTTATTTACCGGTTTGATTGTGCATTTAAATTACAACTAAGTTAGTAAGAAGACAGAGTGGTAACCTACCTCCTTGTATATACCTCTTGCATAGTATACCAGTGAGCATATTCAATCATCCGAGCCTCTGATGCAATCACCTTTCTCCCTGCCTTTGTTTAGTTTTCTCTACTATTCCACGAGCTATCTTGTAACTGCTGCGAGGATCCAACACGAGTCCCTCTTCTAAACTCAAAACCCTTCCCTCCATTCGGTAAAACCGTTTCGGTATGATACCAGAAACGAACGGTGACAACTTGCTTGCGCTATCAAAGTCCATGATCCCTCCATCCTAGTGTAATATTGCATAGGGATCACAAACAACTCGCCTCCATGCCTGCTGCAGGTCTTCTAAGGCTTATGACTACCTACCCCACCACGAACGAACTCTTGTGAATACTAGCCCCCATCGCGACAGCCCCCCACCGAGGAGTGTTTGACCCACACGCATACTGTATCCCAGCTATATTTAACGACGCTGGAATAACTCTTACACTATACAATCTTGGCGAGACCTGTTATCTCCGGCTTCCAAGTCAAAAGGTGTCAGTTAGAAGTGATAGATGCTGCTTGACATGCTGCTGGCTTTGATCCGGTGCGCGGCTGTTTATGCAACCACCCGCCTCTCAATCCGCCCTTTGATTCTTCTATTCATCCATTCACCAGTCTGCCTCATAATTGTCCCTTTATCAATTCTTTCACTCCCAATAGCACATCTGTGCTTTTTCCCGTTGTGAGTTCATTCACACATTACCCCGTTCGCCCCCTGTCGTTGGTTTGTTAAGGCGATATATACCGTTGCGTATCGAAAGAGCCCAGCAAGTACAGTAGTCGTAGGTCAGCCGAGCCAGAGTGGGGACCATATGGGACCAGGAGCCTGAACGGCAGCGTGAGCCATAGTGGGAGCTACAGATTATTGGGAGTCTTTGTTCTTTGTTCTTTTAACCTTTGTTAGCAAGGAAGCGAGTAGAGGAGCGGGAGACTTAGCACCAAAGAGGGACTTTGTGAAAGGATATGGAAATAGGTGGTAATTGGTGATTATTCCCACTTATCCATACTCCTGTTTTAGCCCCTTTGTGTTGTTAGATGGTGGTGTTAAGCCCTTGAGTTAGTCGTGGAGCTCGAACAAATTGAAGCAAGATTGTGGATATAGTTCTACCACCGCTTAGCGGTTGCTCTGTAAAAGTGTCAAGAAGGAATAATTGTTTTCGGACATGTCAGGGCCCGGGTCATTTGACCTTGTTGGATCTCATTAATTGGCTTTGGAAATTCGCTGAACTTGACAAGCTAAACCTATCTGGGTTGATGAGGTGATTTAAATTCCATAGATATTGGTCAAAGGACTGAGATGGTGGAATACAGGAGTTTTAACCCTATTTAAAAGGGTTTCTTGCCGGTACCGCCGCAGACACTGAGATTTTCAGCCCCGTTTTAAGTGTTGAATACTAGCTGATTTGGGAACTCGCGCTCGATATAGGAACAAAGTGCTGGGCGATATGTACCTCGTACGTGGGTGAAAAATTTTAGGCCACCCCGGCAATATTGGATTTAATACCCTCTAATGTCTTGGGCTGAGATGACTAAGGTGCTGTCTTAGTACTCTTCGGTTGATAGTGTGCCTAGTTATAATTATATTGCTACTATTCGCTATGGTCTGAAGTTTGTGCATCTGCGAAATTTGTGATAATCAACAAACGTTGCTCATCAACCAGCTTCTTTTGCACAAACACCGGGCCAAATTCAATGTCATACACAACTTCCCTCGTCCGCCCCGACAATCGTCGGCCTACGGTATGTGACAGTAGTCTTGCTCTCTTTCCTGCTTTGTCTTGCTTGATCAGCCATGGTATTCATCCCATCTTGTAAAGCTTTGTACCGCTACTAGTGCATTTGACTGCCTCATCTTGTCCTGATTTCTGATGTCTGTCTTGCCGTTTTCTTTCACTCATGTGTGATCGCAGGATTCAATTGACCAATGTTTCACAATAGCTAGTTTCTGGTATTCCAGGACACACCCCACTACTCTAGTCCCAGTACTATGCCCTCACACATCCTACATTTTGACCTCCCTCCCTCATCTTCTTCAAAGGGTATCGACGTCTGAGCAAGTTTGGCATTTCACGCATTTCGGAAAAAACTAAACAATATGTTGCAATATCCACAGTTTTGGTACTTTATTTCACAATATAAGGTCTGGTGCAAGTTGTATGTTTTACGGCATGTTGCTGGTTTCCATGAGGGCTCAGCACTGAATCTTGAATCCGGAATGCGCGGACGTTACCTGTATTTATTACAATTGAGAGAGTGCGCACAAGGATTTAGGTGGAAGTAGACGGGAAACAGAGCTAGGTACAAGAATAAGTTTGCGCAGCAGGTCTATGTGTGTTGGCAGTAGGATGACAGTGCTTGGAAAGAGTTAGTATGGGATGGTATGTTGCACAGAATATCTATAGTCCAGATTGAACCAAACCGGGACATCAAGGCCACCAAAACCCGTCATGGAACTAGTGGATGGAAGTAAAGAATTTCAAAGCGAAAAAATCATAGGGACGAAGATAATCCTGCGCAGAATTGAAAATCAGCATTATTGGTGAAGGTGACTCACGGGACGCAATCCACTAGAGTAAGAGCCAGGCTGAAAAAAAACTGTGGAGAGTGGGTAAGGGAGACACAATTGTTGTTATTCACAGATGCGTTTGATATCTCTCCTCCCACATTTCTAGATCGGTGGTGACCGGGTTGGAGTAAAGGTGTGAGCAAGGGCAATTGGATAGGGTAGTCTTGGGCAGTTGCATGGTGTTTTCACTAGTGGGCTGTGTCCCATGTTAGTGAAGGGCTGGGCGCACAGAATTTTCCGCACATTGAGTGCCTTTATGTTTTCTTATGATAGCTAGACTAGTACACCACACCTTCTTTGTGGCACTCAATTCAACCTTTGCTCCACGTCCCTTGAGCCTTGCTTTATCCTTGATTTGCTCTTTCCATCTCGACGACATTACGCCTATTCTATCTGGAGCCAATTCGATCATCAATACCGTCCGGTGTAGCTAGCGGCCCAGAAGCCGCATTTCTTCGGAATAGGTGTGCCCGGTCAATCCACCATCTGGAACGTGAAGTTGTCGAACAATTCCCACACTGGTATGGAAACAGGGGTTGCAAGATGCAGGGTATAAGCCTTGGGAAAGCGGGGAGAAGAGCAGGGTACATGAGCGGTGGGGGAAGAGCGGGGAAGTAGAGCGGTGATGAATTGAACGAAAGGATGATGCAAGATTTGGTAGAAAATGGCACGATCAAGATCGGAAGATCACTCGAAAGGTAGCGAGGTCTCTTGTATTTAAAGGATACCGTTCCTAATCAATGTTAGAATGGTAAGGGCCACGAGGAAAAGAAAACGTACAAAGTCAATTGTCCAGCCAGCTTTCCTACCCTTCATTCTCTCTCTCTTATTAT